CTTCAACCTGTAGTCAAAGTGCATTAACATGTACAGTACATAAAAACATGGAGTCTGCTCAGTGCATTTCTACAGCCAGTATCACAAATCACAAAGTTGCCTTCTGTCCTTAGACCCTCACATCGGATAAGGAAAAACTCCCCAAAAAACCCTTTAAAGGGAAAAATTGAAGAAACCTCAGGAAGAGCAGCAGAGGAGGGATCCCTCTTCCAGGACGGACAGACAGGAAATAGATGTAGTGCACACAGAATGAATCAGCAGAGCAAATTTACCAAGTGGACAAGCAGAACTTTGCAGAGGAATAGACTTCATTAAGCCAATAAATTAAATACTACAACACTGACACCGCAGAAATTTGTGAACACCTATGTAACATTTGTGCACTAAGGGACTTGAAGTGTCTTCGTCTGAGGGGTGGCTTCACTTTCTGGGAAAGCAAATGGTCATTGAAACAAGTTTCATGCTGAGCCAGAGCAAAATCAGCTTTACCACTGTGCAGAATCATTGTTGTGCTGCTGAACAGTGGCATGTTGTCAACAGCGCATGTACTAAGCACCACACTTGACCTGGTTTGTGAGACTGACAGCGGCTTGGGAAAGGTTTCCACTTATCCATGAACCCCAAAGCCGTCTCTGCTCCAAACATCATCAAAAAGTCTTGAAAAACAGAAAAGGAGAAAGGAAATAAATTACTGTCACGCAAGATAAATCACGTCATAATTGTTTTCCAAATTATTTACTTACAAGGGCTTTAGCAACCAAGAAACCTTGAGTGACAGTCCCAAGGGTGTGAAACTCCTTTGTTGCTGTACTTAGAGCTCTTCTGCAAAAATACAGAGTGAGATGCCTGCACCTCAACAAAGGAGAAATTTGTGTAATTAACACCTCTCCGCTTTCTGTTGCACACATGTGAGCTACAATGGTGTTCACCTCCTGGATTTTTCTCTCTCACACTCTTCAATGACAGTCATTTCTGCTGGTTTAGAAGCTGGAGTCTGCTCCAATGTAGGGGTGGGGGTGGCTGTGGCTCACCAGGTAGGGCAGTTGTCTCCTGACCAGCCAGTTGGTGGTTTGACTCCCGGTCTCCACGCATGCTTTAGTGTCCCTGAGTAAGACACTGAACCCCGAATTGCTCGCGGTGGCTTGACTAGCACCGTTGCATGGCAGCCTGCCGTCATCAGTGTGTGAATGGTGTATGATCCCCTGTAAAATGCTTTCTCACTGTGAGAAAATCGCTATATAAGATACAGTCCATTTACCAATAGGTAAACACAGAATAATAAAAAACTAAAGATAATTTTCAACAAACCTGTTCCAGTCTATTTATCATACAGATCACCAGTTATATGTAAAACACAACCCTTCTTTAACACCAGTTAGTTTAACCCTACTTAAATGTACTACCCTCTTTTCACATTTGTGCCAAAAATGCACATGAACAAAAAACTGCTATTAAACCACATTTTGTAATCTCACTCCCATTACAGTATAAAACCATGCATTCTGTAATGTCAGTATTTGATTTTGAAGAAAAGTAGTGATGACATTTTTACTCTATTCCACCAGATTCAACCCTTTTCACATTGTAGACTGATGCATGAAATTTGCATATTTTTGCCATATTATGGAGCCTACACACACACACATCTTGGGGTCCCCTAGTAAGTCACACTGCTCCATTATATTCATCAGCTGGTGCAGGAGGTTCCAGGTTCGTCTCCTCCGGATGGACCAGACTGGGACACCCTCCTGGCTGGCTCGCCAAAATATGTAGCGGGGGCGCAGAATGAATTCCCTAAGGTTCAAACTGGTGCCACATATTTACCTGTAATTACAGAAATATACACATTAGAAGTGTTTATTTTCTTTGCGGTTACACAGCGCACAGCATTTTGCACTTACATTCATTGCATTAACCACATGAACGAGCGGTGGGGGCTCCCTCGCACGAGGGTTCATATCCTCACATTAACATTCCCCCGTCGCCTTTATATTACTGCAATGACAACATGCTAACCGGCTCCTCTTACTACAACCCGGTTTTCACAACCATTACAAACTCTAACACCACGTCCCAAAACACAGTAACAGTCAGA